AACTCTCCAAGATTGTCACAAAGACTCCACAAAAACACTTTTCTAAATTTGATTCTCAATTCTAACTATGTTCTGAAGTTTCAAAATGTTCAAACTATTAATAACAGTTTCAGAACCAGATAATCGATTATTTTAAAGAATAATCGATTATTTTGTTCTTCAGGTTTTTTGGAAACCAACCAAGAACAATATAATCGATTATTTTGCTGGATAATCGATTATTCCAAAGAGTCATTTCTGGGATAATCGATTATTTCACAAATAATCAATTATTGCAGCAAGGCATCCCATTTTGCCTGTTGCTGGAATAATCGATTATATTTAATGATAATCGATTATTTTGAGTTAGTTTTCACAACTTCGTTTTAAGTCTCAAAATAACTTTTTAGCCCCTTTAACTCATCATCATACATCCTCTAATTAGTTTAGATATAGATTTGGCTTATGCACACAGCACACACAACAAATAAAATCATTCAAAACAATTTATACACTAATTCCTATTACATATCACATAGCACTTTCTTTGACTTTGTTTTTGTCTTCTTAGTTGTTGTCGTCCTTGACACACATTTGTTATCATCAAAACTCTTCAAGCACCAGAGATGTTCTCATCAAGCTCAGACTTCAACAATCTCAACAATATCTTCATAATTTCATATTCAATCATATCCATCAATTATTACAAGAATCATTCCTCGGACAAGATAACCAACACACAACACATTGTATCACATGAGAGTCATATGTTCACAATTCAAACACAGATTCATATATTTTAACTTGATACACCTCAAGTTATTAACAATCAATTCACATTATAACTTATTTATAATTGTTCTCTCTCATGATTTCTCTTTCCTAAGTATTGTTATAGGCACCTCAAATCATTTATAAGATCAAACATCTAAAGGGTAAAACTATTCATTATCATCACTCACAAACTATACTTTCATAACTTAATCTTCTAATTAAGACATAATGTTGTCTAAACATCTTATATAGAACTATACATATACTATCAAGTTGATTTTTTTTTTAGAAAGATAAGACAATTTCCTACAACTTTAATGTTGATCTCATGAGCTAATTCTATCATCAATCTATTATTTTAAAAAAGTACAAAATCGTAATATTTCAACCAAAATATGAGAATCTGACCTTTGCTCAATAATCTGAAATATGTAGGACGGTAAATGGGTTGAATTATTTAAGTTGGACTCATTAAATGCTCGATCAATTAAATAAACAAACTTAAGCTTGAGATTCTAGTTGATTATTTATACAAGACAAACTCAAAGCTTAAGAAATTCGTCAATAACTCTCTCCCGATCTGTTTCTTTCTCTCGCACACACATACACACACACATATATATATATATATATATATATATATATATATATAATGGTAATTTTTAGAACACATTTTGTATAGTATTTTACTAATAATTTTAATAAAATAATATTTTTATTTACTATTCATAATTCTTTTAAGATATTTATTTAAAAAATATATAATGTTAAAGTTTAAAAATAAAGGAAGATGTTTCAATGCCTTTTGATTGAGGTAACACGTGATAAGGATGATGGGATAGTCATGCGGAGTTGGGGTGATGTAAGTGGCGCAAGATTGGCATGCAGGTTCGTGTGATCACGTTAAAAAATAATTTAAGCAAAATTAATAAAATTATAAATGAAATAAACAAACTAAACTCAAACTTCGTTTTATTTAACAACTAAAATCTAAAGTTTCAATTAGACTGTTTAAATAAATTAGTCAAATTTAAACGATTGGTTCTTTTCATAAGTTAAGTTCAGATCTTAAGATCTCGACTCTATTCAACTCGTTTACACTCTTAAACAGGAGTATGATATTTTGGTTCCAAAAGAGAATTATTATAAACAACAAGCAACTCTATAAAATAATTAACAGAGAGACAATTGCTTCTCTCTCTCTCTCTTTTTTTTTTTTTTTTTTCTGTTAAAAATCATAAATAACGTGAGATATTTTTTTTTTAATCAAAAAGTCATTAATAAAGTCATTAAATGCTTACTAATTTTTCATTAGGTAGAATTTACACCCCGAATTTCAAATAAAAGAAATGCTATTTTATTTTACACTGCAAAAGAGTAAAAATAAAAAATTACTTAACTTAGTTAATATTATTTAATTTCATTAATCTTATTTTAAAATTTAATTTATCTTTCTAAATTATTCTTCTTTAAAAATTAATATTAACAATACATATAATTATTGAAAATACAATGTCAATCAAATGAAGTGATATTTTGCCGATAATATCATGAAATATAATAAAATTAATTAAAATTTGATTATTTTTGAGACAAACAAACATGATTATTTTGTTATGCTTATATTTGAAGCCACAAGAGAAAATATTAATTATGGTAAAAAACATGTATTAATTATTCATTAATTATATTTAAGTAATTATTTATAGCGTTATCTTTAATAGATAATTTTAAAGTATTTTTCAAAATTTAATTAATATTTATGCACTTTTAGGTAATGTAAATGTAAATTTAAGATAGTACAATAAGTACTTAGATCTAGTGACAGATCCAGAAATTTTAGATAGTATAGGGACAATATTTATTCATATTTGTAGTATTAAAAATTTTAGGCTAAAACCCTATTTTGGTCCCTTATAATTTTTTTTTGTTTCAATTTAGTCCCTCATTAATTTTTGGTCTCAATTTGGTCCCAAACTAATTAATTGGTTTCAATTTAGTCCTAAATTAATTAATTGGTTTCAATGTGGGACTTTCCGTCCAAATTGCTTTAACGGTGTTAACTTTTGGCCATGTGGACGCCACGTAGATGCATACGTGGCATCCACGTGGATGAGAATTTTTTTGAAATCACCTGGACCCAGAACGGCCCGTTCTGAAACCGGCACGGGCCGTTCCGGATGCACTTTTGGTGTGTTAATTTTGCATCCGGAACGGCCCGTTCCAAGTGCAAAATTAACACACCCAAAATGCACCAGAACGGCCCGTTCCAGATTCAGAACCGGTCGTTCCGGTTTTATTTTATTTTATTTATATATAAAAATATTAATATTTATAAAATATATATTATTAATTATATTTTAATTATGTTATTATATCCAATAAAATAAATATATTAATATTTTTTTATATATTTTATTTTATTATGTTTATCTTATTAATTTTTATCATTTTATTCCTTTAATGTTAAATAAGTTGCAAAAAATTATAAAGTGATATTCCTTTTATCTTATTAATTATTATATTTTTTAATAAAATTAATTAAGAATATTGGTTTAATTGCATTTTTTATCCCTCAAGTATTACAATTGTGCAGTTTTGTGATCTCCAAGATTTTAATTGCATAATTTTAGTCCTTAAAGAATTGCAATTGCGCGATTTTGGTCCTTCAATTTTTAATTGAACAATTTTA